CCAGCTCTTGCATTGACAACTGGCTCCAGGTCTCAGAGTATGGCTGAGAGCTGGAGCTAGCTGCACCCACCTCCTCTCCAGCCTGGTGCTCCACTGAGCACTGGAGGGGCAGAGTGGAGAGCAGTGACTGACAGTCACTGCTCTCCATTTCGACCTTCCCAAAAATTGATCAGTTAGCAGTCATGTGATCGCTCATTTCTCAGGCTTAGAGCTGATGCTGCAGCTTGAGTAGGTATGTCTGTTTTTTTATATTGCAAAACATCTCCAATAAGCAGCTAGGGCAGGGGTGGGCAAACTTTTTGACTTGAGGGCCGCAATGGGTTCATATATTGGACGCGGGGGCCGGACCAAGAGTAGATGAATGATGTGTATGTGTCATCCATAGTAAGTATAGTAATATTCCCCCATAGTAAGCATAGTAATTAATCCCCCATATAGTAATTCATCCCCCATATAGTAATTCATCCCCCCTATAGTAATTCATCCCCCATATAGTAATTCATCCCCCATATAGTAATTCATCCCCCATAGTAATTCATCCCCCATAGTAATTCATCCCCCATATAGTAATTCATCCCCCATATAGTAATTCATCCCCCCTATAGTAATTCATCCCCCATATAGTAATTCATCCCCCCTATAGTAATTCATCCCCCCTATAGTAATTCATCCCCCATATAGTAATTCATCCCCCCATAGTAATTCATCCCCCCTATAGTAATTCATCCCCCATAGTAATTCATTCCCCATATTAATTCATCCCCCATATAGTAATTCATCCCCCATATTAATTCATCCCCCATATTAAGTCCCCAAGTCCCCCCATGTCAATTCACTTACCTTTGCTCCGCGCGTTCCTCTCGCCGTGTTCCCGCGCCGTTCCGGTGTAGCATGAAAATCTGTCTCCTATGAGGATCTGTCCCCCTCGACGTGTCTGCGCATGTGCCAGTTTCAGGCATTAGCAGCCGATCGGCGATCTCCGGCACATGCGCAGATACGTCGAGGGGGACAGATCTTCATAGGAGACAGATTTTCATGCTACACCGGTCTTCAGGGCGAACTGTGAGAGGAGCCTAGCGGGAGCCTAGCTCCGCGGGCCGATTAAAAGGTCCGCCGGGCCGTAGTTTGCCCACTTGCTGAGCTAGGGTTATATTATTGAAGCGTAAATAGACACTACTGCAGGCTCCTTCTTACATCAGTATCCCCATCAGAGTCCCCCCCCCCTTGTCAGTGCATAAATCTGTGTCCTCATCAGAGTCCCTCCTTACATCAGTGTCCGCATCCGAGTCTCCCCTTGCATAAGTGTCCCCATCAGAGTCCCTCTTACCTCTGTATTAGGGCTTACAGAGCAGTGTAGCAGCATTGGGACCCATGGGGTGCAGAAGGCCTAGACAGAGGAAGTTCTGTCCCCCCTGTGAATGCTCAGGTAAACACAGCATTGGTTGCTGGATGTTGGAGGCCCTAGAAACCAACAACACGGCGTAACGCTCCCACTCCGCTTGCTGGCCTGTAGGCAGCATCAGAGAGGTGACATGGACAAAGCAGAGCACTAAGCAGCAGCAACAAGCCATTTCTATGGAGGTTATAAAATAACTCTACCAGTACATTAACATTTTGTACTTACTTATTGCACTGCCTCACTCTGCTGCTATACATTGCCTGTTCCAGAACGCCCTAATCTTTATGCCATGGTGTACGGTTTCTAGTCCGCATCACCTTAGTCTGTATGCTAGGCTGTACATTTCCTATTCTGCACCGACTTACCTCGTATGCCATGCTGTATGTGACCTATTCCACACGCCTCACTCCATATGCCATGCTACACATTCCATACTTCTGACCACCTTTCCTATATCTGCACATTTCCTATTCTGCACTGGCACATTCTGTATACTTTGTTGTATATCTTATATCCCACACTTCCCTATTCAGTACACTATGCTGTGCACCATCTCACTCTGTACTCCATATATACATTCCATATTTTAAACTGACAAATTCTGCACTTTTTTTAGTCCAGAGTGCCCCATTCTATACTTTGTGCTATATATTTTGTTTGTATTTTGTATAATGTCCACTCATTCTGGATTCTTTGATATATATATTCCACATCATCCCATTTTGTATGTGGTGCTATACATTCCCTATTCCACACCCCCCATTCTGTATGCTATGCTGCTCACTGTATATTTCTCATTGCTTCATTCTGTGCTGTACATTCCTTATTCCACAGAAGCGCATTCAGTATGCTGTGCTGTACATTGTATGCTCAATTCTTAAAGTGACACTGTGGCTAGCTCCTCATAACCAACCTGTTAAAAAAAAGAAGATAAATACCCTTCTCAGAAGCCTAAAATGTTACTGTATTGAAGGTCTACGGCTGCCTCTGGTATGTGACATTTCCAGGTGTGTCCTCTACCTAGTACCCCTACATGTACCACAGTTTGTCTTGCTAAAGGACACAGTAGTCACATATGGATTAGCAGAAGGAATCACAGCATGTAGCTAGGGATCTGGTAGTGGACACACTGGGAGGTTTTGTATACAGCAACTAGAAATCTGCAATTCAGTGAAGTTTTAGGCCACTGACCACCAGAAAGATATTTATCTTTATCTTTTATAGGCTGGTCTAAGTGTTATTATGTTAAGTTAGGAACATAACCAACCTAAAGGATAAATGTACTCAATGTAATGTAATCAATGTAATCAATGAACATTTATCCTTTTTCTCTAGGCTCCTGGGTGAATAAGACCAACTCTCACTCTCCACAGATCCATGCTTACATTTATAACACCACCATTGTTATACTCTTCAGCCATTCTTCACCTGCCATGGTAATTAAAGTGTTGTATAGTGGTGTTCTTTTATTTGTTGGGACCAATTCAAATGTTTGCTATGGGGCCCTGTGATTTCTAGTTACACTTCTGCATGACACCTATGGCCTTTTATCATTTACCCTCATCATGGTCCCTTATCATTCCTTTCAATAGTTTAAATACTATTGTTGTTAGGCTTACTGTTCTGTAGTTACCAGATATATATATTGGCTCTTTTTTGAATATTGGTACCCGTTTGCTTTTCACCAATCAGCTGGTACTATTTCAGTCAGTAAGCTGTCCTTAAAAATTAACAATAATGGTCTGGCTATGATACAGCTAAATTCTTTGAGAACTCTCGGGTGTAAGTCATCTGATCTTTGAGATTTAGTCACGTTATTTTTTTTCTAGTCTTTTTGTTAACACTGGTCTCTGTCAGCTACAAGGGTACATTCAATACAATGTTATTAACATTACTGTCTTGTTTATTATACCCCTCCTTTTCATTTGAATAAACTGAGAAGAATGCATTTCATGAAGTTGCCTTCTCCTTGTCACTTGTGACCAAATTCCCCTGATTATCCTTTATGAGGCCAATATGCTCTGACCTAGCCTTTTTACTATAAAAATATTTGGAAAATTTGCATTTCTCTCCTCTGCAAAGTGTCTTTTGTAACATATTTTAGCTATCCTGATCACACTCAATATATTTATTAAAGGACTGTTTTGTTCTCATTAATATGCGTTTTTACTAGTGGTGCACCGAAATGAAAATTCTAGTGCCGAAACCGATACTGAAAATTCAGAATGCATGTAGCCGAAAACTGAACCGAAACCGAAATGTCTGTGTATGTGGGGGTGGGGAACCGATCCCATTTAGTGTCACATAATATGGAGCACAGCTTATTAAAGTTGGTTCTTTTAAAATTGACTGTCCTATCCTTATGTGTCCCTTTCCTATAATTTATAGCAAATGTAATTACTCTGTGATCATTGTCACCTAAATTATCCATAACATCCACATCTGCAATCAGCTTTTTGCTATAACTCTGAGATGTATCTGTATCTGAAGCAGTATTTATTACTTTGGCTGCAGCTGGGCCCATAACCTGTTGGAAACCTGCTGCAAATTTGATTCCTACCAAGCAAGATAATGCTGGACACACAGCTAAGCCCTTCTTATTTTATTGGGATCCTTGATTGTCACACCAGCTGGAAAAAGAACCATTCATTTAAACTGGAAGATCCACAGAGCTTGCTCACTATACACAGTTAGAACTGAAATATGTTGTATGTTGTAAAACTGAAAGTGTCATTCTGCCATTACTGAGAAACATAACACATTTGCAATGTTAGGGTATATAATAGATCCTGTGTCTGTTTTTCCAGGTTTCATTTATAAGAACCCTAACTGAAGTTAGTGATAGTAAGCCAGTAGTTCAGCCAGAGAAATGGTCAAAATCCACTATAAGTTGATTGGCAGAAGAGCATTCATTTATGTGGTCATTTTCATGTACTTTTGGGGCAGCCAGTTAAATATCGTACATTCGTACAAAGACCATCAAGGGTTCCCTAGATAACAAAAGGCAATACTGAGGCCCTAAATGAACTAACACACCTCTACCCTCATGTATCCCTCCTGTCTTAAATTCAAATATGCCACATGACTTACTTGTCTTTGAGATAAGCCTTTAAGTTGCTCCCAGAACTTGCTAATGCTTCCCTTAAGCAAAAATCATGACAAAATCCATATGTGTCACCATTACTGTCATGATCTAGCCTGCAGTTTTCAGTTTGCAAAATTCTTACTCCTTTCTGCAGTGGTTCTGCTAGACCCGTGATTCCATTTACATGTGCTGCTGGCTTCTGTGTTCACCTATGGGTGTCGCCTGCTCTACTGTGGAATTATATCCCTTTCCCTTCTACCACTTCCTGGCTCACCTCCCAGTATGTTTCCCTATATACAGACATGCTCAGTGCAGTCCATGTTGCCTGAACAACTTCTCAGTTTCTTTGTGCTCCTGGTTTGCCTTGTAGTGCTTGTATTTTGTGCCTGACTACCCATGAACTGACCTTGGCTTCATCTACTGTTTTCACTTGCCTGCTACCCACCCTGAGTGGAACTATTGTTACACTCCTGAGGTCAAAGAATTCTTGTACTGACATTTGATTTTTCCTTATACCTGTATTCAGCTACTCCACCAGCATGTTTCTTCATTGCTGTGTCTGAACTCATGCCATAAAAAAGCATCACTTTTTTGCCGTTCTTTTCCATAACTTCTCCAGTGCATTGGTCATGCCCAGCTAGCATTCCTCCAAGCATCACAAAGTCTGCTCCAGCTCCTGAATAAACAGAAAATTAGTATATATAAAGAAATAGAAGCAATTAAACCAATGTAGCTGCATAAAAATGTTTATTTAAAGGATCTACACAGAGTATAAAAATATTTGCCATTGTATTAACATTCTGTAACTGGCTTCAAGCAGGCCAAGCAAGTCAGGTTCTTTATTCTACTTACAAATTTAGCCTTAAGAATTTCTGCAGATGGTCTCCGTATAGCAACAAATAAATAAATACAGTAGATGTTCAGAAAATTCAAAGGACATTTTCTTTCATGAGCCCACTCATACCAATGGCAAGTTTGCCGACTGATTGCATGATAGAAAATGGGCAACTCAAGTTACAGACTGATACTGGCCGATGCAAATGTGATAAAATCTTCCAATACAGTGGGGTTGATTTACTAAAACTGGAGAGTGCAAAATCTAGTGCAGCTGTCAAAGGTAGCCAATCAGCTTCTAACTTCAGCTTGTTTAATTAAGCTTTGACAAAAAACTGGAAGCTGATTGCTTTCTATGTAGAGTCTCACCATATTTTGCACTCTCGAGTTTTAGTAAATTAACTCCAATGTGATTACAAATACACCAGATAAAACTTAAGTGGAGAAACCTGTTGTATCAGCCTTGAAAAAAACAATTCATGTATAATCTGTGTTCCAATGTCTTCTTGGCATATATTTTAAGCTGCACCAACCACAGATGACTGAAATCAACAGGGCTTCCTAGTATGCAAGTTTATAAAAATTGTATAACCTCTCCCTCAAAACATATTATTGTCGTCACTTATCACATAATGCATGTTTGAGGAACTAATATATAAGAATTGCTCAGGATAATTGTGTACCTGTCTTATAAAGAAATGAACCTATTTTGGGAATAAAGGATACAGACAATTCATAAGGATTAGTCATACTATGCAGTACTCAAATCTCGCTGTTTCATTTAAGGTATTTAGCTTGATTATAGGTTTGGAAATCAGAACAGATGCGTCCATACTGTTCATACTAATCCCAAGACAATTTGGCAAGGTTATAAGGATGCAAGGTTAGCTATTAGCCTGCATACTAGGGAATGGAAAAAATAGCCAGAAAATTAAATGTACTTGTACACTAAAGAATTAAAACTGACCAGCATGCGAGTCAGGTTTGCCCTTCTATCAAGAAATAGTTTTCTCCAACACCACAGAGTTGATTTTCTCACATTCTGACAGGCTGATGTTCTCTGTCAGATGTTGCTGGTGGGAAGACAATAGTTCTGAATACATGAAAAGTGTATTGTGTTATATTTAAGAATAAACAAACCCAACTAATGACTGGAAGGATTAATGCTAAAATAATTGAGCCTTATAATTAAAATGCAGGACTTACTGGAGAAGTCTCCAAAGCTGGCATTCTTGGAGAGACCAATGACACAAAGAGAAGGGGGATACAGAGACTAATATAATTAGACATGCAATTACTCGGAGAACCAGTGTTCAAGGGGGTGTATAAATAAGGGAAGCCATGGAAATTATTGACTGAGCACACAACATAACTCGCCCAAATAAATGCAGGGTATGCGTATTAAGTCATAACATAATGGTGGTCCTTTACATTATAATAATATTTTCTGTTAGTAGAATCTGAGGCATCTCTGTTAATCTTTTTCCATACATTTGTAAATTATCAGCAGAATATCTAAATCAATTTCCTAGCTTTGAAACAGTGAATTCTGACTGTCAATGAGATTTGTCTAACCAAGGCGGCCTATAATTTGTGCCAAGCAGCATTGTCAGTAATGGACAACGTAAGTTATAAACACAAAGGACTGCTTTCTAGAGTACAAAAATACATTACGATAGAGAATATATCTTCTACAACATAATAAGATATAGATAAAGGTACTTGAAAGTTAAGTAGATAAGTCAACAAAATAATTGGCTTTAATAAATTAAGAAACTATTTTAGGGTGGTCATAAATGAGCAGAATGGTTTGCTGTGTGACCACTTCCCCAAAGCTGGCCATGCATGTTACCATCATAGTACAGTAGTTCTAAAGTAAATTGCACAATCTGCTCTTATGCAGCACTCACCCCTGGAGGGGCTGCTGGAAATAACCCAGATCTCCCCTACCTGGTCAAAGGCTATCAGCTAAAGAACCAACTCCACAGCACATTGACAAACTCAGGTTCAGTCTATGGTTGGACTTTTTGAAGATTTATTGCTGCACTTGAACACAGGAGGGTGGAGGGTGAGGGTGAAGGATACTCAAAAAAACAAGCAGGTAGAGGAGAACAGTTTGTTAAGTTTGCTAAGATTGCAAAGTTCCTCAGTAGCAGCCCTAAGTATTGCTGGAGGGAGAGGGGATAGCCAGTTAGTCTGGGACTCTGAATGAACAGTCACAATCCATGCAGCAACCTCTGGCCTCTAACCCTCAAAGTACTGGCACCCCTGGAGTTCTAGGCAAAAAGGTTCTACTCACAATGTCCATAGACTGCTCCCAAACCAGCTTTCCTGCTACACTCTCCAGTGAAAGGGTTTCCTGTCCAGCTGAGCTTTCACAGGCAGAGTGTCTTCCAGCAAGTTTTTTTAAGTCCATGTTCAATCAAGACCCTAAGCCGAGTACATGGCCTAACAGCAACAGCCCTTCTGTAAAATACAAGCTGCCTCCTAGGGGGAGACCCCAGGAAAGATAGCTTTGATTAGACTCCCCCAAACATTTGTCTTCTTGGCAGCCACACCTTCTGGACCTCCCTCCCAAGGATTGGCTGAGGTCAGATAAATATTGATAACCCAACGGTTAACCCTCCTACTTTTTTTCAGAAAGCTTCTTCAAGAGCTAAGCAAGAGCAATCAACCACCAGGCTTAGGGACAGACCTGATCAAACCTGGAAAATAGATAGCTGTTCAGTTGGATACAACAGAGCCAAAAACTAAATTTATCAAGCCAAGGGAAGGGTGTTACACATAATATGTATTGTTAACTATAAGCCTGCCTATGATATCTAGTATGATTTATGAGGTTTGAATCTAAAACTGGCCATACGTGTTGTAATCTATTTTTACAATATCATTTTTGTTACCACAATCTCTGCAGTGCAATGGCTTACCTGGCTGGTAATAAATTAAACTGATTATTCGGGTAGGCTTTTGCACCAGAGTTAGTGGTATGTTAGTTACACACACTATATAGATGTTGGTAAAGCTAAATGAGATTGTACAGAGACAACCATGTTTAATGTAAATGTAGCTAGCTTTACAGTGCAGTAACCATGTTCAGAAGGATGCTTTCTCTACTGTACTTAGCCACTTGCCCAATCACAACAGGGGAGGGTTTTTTTTTTCCTTTTCATAGAAGGCTTGATTAAGCTGAAAGATTAAACAAGATCCTCCCAGCATGCTCTGAGCATAGTGTAGGATTCCTTACGGTAGGTAGAAGTGCAGGGTTCTTTAGGGTAGAAGTGTCAAGCACCTAGAGCAGTCTTTGTAACACAGGATAACCCTTGAAATAACTTTCAGGTCTCAGGCAACAATATAAAATATATTTTATAACTACAGTTCATGATACATCAGCGTAATGGTCAGTGGTCATGCTCCTTGCACATGTGGTCATTGGGAAGAATCTCCCCCTTATAGATAGGTTTAAAGATCAATAGCATCAATAGAATCTAATCTGAAAGGCAGAAATTGCTCATTATTCACGGAACCCCTAGCATTCTCTGAAGGAACCCTAGGGTTCCACTGAAACCTGACTGAGAAAGATTGACCTAGAGTATTGGAGGAGGTCAAATTTCCACATACGGTGTGCTCAGATTGAGAGGGTCTTGTGCTCCAAGAAGGAAAATTCACTTTCAATTCATCAATCTTTGCTAATAAAGGCATCTGCAGGCAGATTAATTAACCAGCCAGTTTTTAACTAAGTAAACCTTGGCAGAGATTTTTTAGATCTACAAAGCATAAAACATTACATTTTGAGTATAAGTTTACAAAACGTATATAGTGAAAAAACCGCTGGGTGTAGCTGATAAGATTATAGTATTTTAGTTGCAAATGGGGAAATCCCGCCTGTGAGTTTATAGAAGATGCTACAAATCTAACATCATACTGAAACACAAATCATTATTATCTATTAGTTATTCCGCTCAAACATTGCTATGCTAACAACAAAACCTTTGAAGAGGCATCATTGCATTGCAGAGCTATATATCTTATAGAAAACCAATGAAACTCTTCACATCTATCTCTTTTGTAGAAATAATATGTAGACCTTACCATTTATACAGTTAATTAAAGTGAAACTAAACGCTGGTTTAGAAAATATATATTCAGGTATGTATTCTTAACTAAAAAAATTACACTCTGATGTGCTAAGCCTGCTCCAAATCTCCAAATTAAAGTTTTGAGAGTAAGTGTCACTTTACTTGAACTGAGCAATATTTCAGTGATCTGACAACGTAATTGATTACTTTCGGTTACAGCACTTTCCACTTCAAAATAAATAACCAAAACATGTGTCTGTAGGATAGCAAACAGTTTCTGCCTGTGAAAGAGCAGTGTGTGGGATCTCTAGAAGGGTCTGAAAATGACTTGAGGTTTTTCAAGCAATATGTGTCTTTTGAGAATTATTTGGGTAAAGAGTGGGTCACATTTAGAAGGTGAATTTGTACATATAATCTTGGTTTTCCAAGTCGTTAAAGAATCTTTAGGACAGCGGGCTATACAGCTTTGTATACAGAGAATGTCTGACCATTGGCCAAGCTGTGCACAACATGACAGAAGGTATCAGCAGTCTGGTGATGTTACATAGTTACATAGTTAGTCTGGCAGAAAAAAGACAAAAGTCCATCCAGTTCAGCCATAGAAAAAAAAAAAGTTATAATCCTATACCCACAGTTGATCCAGAGGAAGGCAAAAAACCCAGCAAAGCATGACTCAATTTGCTCCTGCAGAGAAAAACATTCCTTCCTGATCCCCGGAGAGGTAATTGGATATTCCCTGGATCAACTTTACTTATAAATATAGTATCCAGTTATATTATGTGTATCTAGGAAAGAGTCCAGGCCTTTTTTAATGCAATCCACTGAGCTGGCCAGAACCTGGCCAGAACCAACTTTTGAGGGAGTCCAGTCCACATTTTCACAGCTCTTACTGTGAAGAAATCTTTCCATATTTGGACATTAAGGGGTTTATTTACTAAAGCTGGAGAGTCCAAAATCAGACTCCCTTCTGCATAGAAACCAATCAGCTTCCAGGTTTCATTGCCAAAGCTTCATTGAGCAAGCTGAGGTTAGAAGCTGATTGGTTTCTATGCAGAAGGGAGTCTGATTTTGGACTCTCCAGCTTTAGTAAATAAACCCCTAAATGTATTTTCCTCCAGGTGTAAAGAGTGCCCCCTTGTCCTCTGTGAAGACCTCAGGGTGAATCACTATATGTGATGGAGGACACGCAGAGTTCTCACTGCCACCATTGTCATGAGAAATCTGTGTGTCTATAAATATATATATATATATTTATATATATATATATTGCATTCAGAAAGTATTCACACATTCAGACCCCCTTCACTTTTTTAAAAAATTTTTGCAGCCTGATAGTACAGTTGTTTGAATTTTCTTTCTCCTTACCTTACACTTAATGACAAGGTTAAAACACGATTTTAGATATGTTTGCAAATTTAGTAAAAATAAAAAAAAACCTGAAATATCACATTGGTCAAAGTATTCAGAGCCTTTGCAACAACACTTGAAATTTTAGCTCAGGTGCCTCCCATTTCTTTGAATCGCTGTTGAGATGTTTCTAAACGTTGATTGGAGTCCATCTGTGATAAGCAAAATTGATTGAACATGATTTGGAAAGGCACACACCTCTCTATAAAAGTCCTCACAGCCGACAATGCAAACTGTATCAGAACAAAAGCTATGAGGTCAAAAGGAACTGCCTGCAGCGTTCAGAGACAGAATTATCAAAGGCAAAGATTTGAAGGCTACAAAAAATTTCTGCTGCATTGGAGGTTCCCAGGAGCATAATTATTATTAAATGGAAGAAGTTTGGTTCAACCAGGTCTTTTCCAAGTGCTGGTCGCCCGGCCAAACTGAGCAATCGGGGGAGAAGGGCCTTAGTATGAGAGATGACCAAGAACCTAATGGTCACTCTGACTAAGCTCCAGAAATCCTGTGTGGAGATGGGACAAATGTCCAGAAGGACAATCATCACTGCAGCCCTCCACCGATCTGGACTTTATGGCAGAGTAGCTAGACGGAAGCCTCTCCTCAGTACAAAACACATAGAAGCCCACTTTGAGTTTGCAAAAGCTTTTTTGCTCAGTTTGGCCAGCCAACGAGCTCTTGGAAGAGTCCTGGTTGTGCCAAATTGCTTCTATTTGAGAATTATGGAGAACACTGTGCTCTTGAGAACCTTCAGTGCAGCAGAGATATTTTTTGTAGCCTTCCCCAGATCTGTGCCTTGCAATAATCCTGTCTTTGAGCTCTACAGAAAGTTCCTTTGACCTCATGGCTTTTGGTCTGATACAGCATGTATTATCAGCTGTGAGGCATTTTATAGACAGATATGTGCCATTCCAAATTATGTCCAGTGAATTATTTACCACAGGTAGACTTCAATCAAGGTCTAGAAACATCTCAGCAATGATCAAGAGAAATGGGAGGCACCTGAGCTAAATTTCATGTGTTGTTGCAAAGGGTCTGAATACTTATGACAATATGATGTTTCAGTTTTTCCTTTTTCATACATCTTTGTCATAATGGGATACTGGGTATAGATTAATGAGAGAAAAAAAAAGAATTTAAAAGCTGTAGTATCAGGCTGAAAAGATAACAAAATTGAAAAATGTGAAGGGGTCTTAATACTTTTTGAATGCACTGTATATGTAGAGATGCTCATAGAAGACTACTTCTCTGCAGGAAAAAAATAACAGAATACTTTCTTTACATGGACATTTTTATGGTGTTTGCTTGAGGTGTCACTTAAGCCACATAAGAAGAGTCTAAAGCTTGGTTGATGACTAGGGGGATAATATGCCTGCAAAAATCAGGGGGATAGCAAAATTGGTCAAAGCTGAGCATCTGCCTGTCAATTAAAAAGGGAGATGTACTTGTAGGTAGTTGGTGTCTTGTTGGACAGGCCTTGCTGGTGCAAACAGTGCAAATGTGTCAACTTATTATTATTATACAGGATTTATATAGCGCCAACAGTTTGCTCAGCACTTTACAATATAAAGGGAGACAATACAGCTCAATACAAGAGGGTTAGGAGGGCCCTGCTTCTTGGAGCTTACAATCTAGGAGGGAGGGGCTGGTGGTACAAAAGGTAATAACTGTAGGGGATGAACTGATAGGAGGAATAGAAGATTCCGTTATTAGCTGAAGGCAGGATAGGCTTCCCTGAAGAGATAGGCTTTCAGAGATTGCCTAAAAGTGGGAAGAGTAGGCGATAGTCTGATACATTGGGGTAGAGAGTTCCAGAGGATGAGGGAGACTCTGGAGAAGTCCTGGAGATGAGCATGGGAGGAGGAAACAAGGGAGAAAGAGAGAAGGAGAGTGTGGGAGGAGCGGAGAGGACGGTTTGGGTGATATTTGGAAACAAGATTAGTGATGTGATTTGGGGCAGAGTTATAAACTTTGTTGTGACCATCCCTGTTCAACAGGGGCAAGGACTTCCATCAAAATCCAGCAGACTTCCAACAAGTATTTAGGGTGGACTAGTATTTATGGTGGGCTACTGTTTAGGGTGGAAGTCGTAAGTATTTAGGGTGGGCTAGTATTTAGGGTGGAAGTTGGAAGTATTTAGGGTGGGCTAGTATTTAGGGTGGAAGTTGGAAGTATTTAGGGTGGGCTAGTATCTAGGGTGGAAGTTGGACGTATTTAGGGTGGGCTAGTATCTAGGGTGGAAGTTGGAAGTATTTAGGGTGGACTAGTATTTGGGGTGGGCTAGTATTTAGGGTGGGCTAGTATTTAGGGTGGAAGTTGGAAGCATTTAGGGTGGGCTAGTATTTAGGATGGAAGTTGGAAGTTTTTAGGGTGGGCTAGTATTTAGGGTGGAAGTTGGAAATATTTAGGGTGGGCTAGTATTTAGGATGGAAGTTGGAAGTATTTAGGGTGGGCTAGTATTTTGGGTGGAAGTCGGAAGTATTTAGGGTGGAAGTTGGAAGTATTTAAGGTGGGCTAGTATTTAGGGTGGAAGTCAGAAGTATTTAGGGTGGGCTGGTATTTAGGGTGGAAGTTGGAAGTAGGGTGGAAGTAGGAAGTATTTAGGGTTGGCTAGTATTTAGGGTGGAAGTTGGAAGTATTTAGGGTGGGCTAGTATTTAGGGTGGAAGTTGGAAGTATTTAGGGTGGCTAGTGTTTTAGGGTGGAAGTAGGACATATTTAGGGTGGGCTAGTATTTAGGGTGGAAGTTGGACGTATTTAGGGTTGGCTAGTGTTTAGGGTGGAAGTTGGAAGTATTTAGGGTGGGCTAGTATTTAGGGTGGAAGTTGGAAGTATTTAAGGTGGGCTAGTGTTTAGGGTGGAAGTTGGAAGTATTTAGGGTGGGCTAGTATTTAGGGTGGAAGTTGGAAGTATTTAGGGTGGGCTAGTACTTAGGGTGGAAGTTGGAAGTATTTAGGGTGGGCTAGTATTTAGGGTGGAAGTTGGAACTATTTAGGGTGGGCTAGTATCTTGTGGGCTAGCATCTAGTGTCTAATTGTATAACTAATTATGCAGAGTGCACTTTTCTATACACAAGTAACCTTGCAAAGTGTATTATGTCTTTGAGGAAGCCAAAAGGAAATTGATTATATGTGATAACACAATCTGCTGTACAGGTGTTGCATGCTGTCATAGGACTCACCAAATGCTTTTGCGACATCTCCTGGACAGCTGCAGCCTCCATCCTTTAAACAAGATAAAAATAGAATCACTCATACACATGCATGTGTAAATGATCTCTTTTATAGTATATATTATATTTGGAATTCTTCATATATGAATATACCATATTTATATATCTATTCTATTACAAGCATAAAATTCTAAATAACAGCTGAGAGCAGATCAAGGCTGATCATTGCAGGGAGTACTGGCTAGGAAGATCTTCACAAAAGAAATAGAGCACAACATGCTACAGTTCATTTGATAATGTCATCTCCTAATGCAGTGGTTTTGTCACAGGAGACAGTTAGCAGTATGTCTTTGCTTTGTCTTAGATCTGGATCGCCATCTGGTGGACAAAGCAGAAAATTGTGTTGAACTTTCCTGGAATTACTATTTTGTAACATTTGGCTAAACCATAAAGTAAAATGATGCAATGTTACAAAATCATAAACCACAAGCACTCAACTGGCTGAAAAGTTCTTATTACAGCTGGTAACATAAAATACTTTATAATCCTTTAGATTGTAAACTCCATGAGCAGGGCCCTCCTATCCCTCTTATATTTAACTGTATTGTAATTGTACTGTCCCCCTACATATTGTAAAGCGCTGCACAAACTGCTGGCACTATATAAATCCTGTATAATAATAATATTACTTAAAGTATAACTAAAGGCAATTTTTTTATTTTGCTTTTGCATGGGTTGGAGATAGTTTAGAACATCTGTTAGGTTTGTATTGCAGTCTGTGCCCCCCATTAGGGAGATTCACTCTCTTTATTTGTCCTATTTACCATTATCATGTAAAGTAAGTAAAAGAACCCCCAAATTTTGGGTATTCCCCAGAAAATTAATAGAGGGGAACCTTTCCAATGGGGACACTACTGGAGATGTGGGGGTCCCAAGGGATTCCTTTAACTTCTTCCCAACCAAAAAATGGCTACAGCGTGGTCGGCTAGCCCTGGGAGGGTGTCCATGGCCATCCCTTCCAGATCAGTGCCCTGATGATCAGTGGAGCCCCATCAGTACAGCCAGTAGTGCCTGTCTTTGCTGGCTTTCAGTGCCCATCAGTGTTCATCTCTGCTGGCTATCAGTGCCCATCTGTGTTGGCTTTCAGTGCCCATCAGTGCTCATCTCTGCTGGCTATCAGTACCCATCTGGCTAGTATTTAGGGTGGAAGTTGGAAGTATTTAGGTGGGCTAGTATTTAGGGTGGAAGTTGGAAGTATTTAGGGTGGGCTAGTATCTTGTGGGCTAGCATCTAGTGTCGAATTGTATAACAAATTATGCAGAGTGCACTTTTCTATACACAAGTAACCTTGCAAAGTGTATTATGTCTTTGAGGAAGCCAAAAGGAAATTGATTAGTGCTTTCAGTGCTGGCTATCAGTGCCTCCTTAGTGATGCCTGTCAGTGTCCATCAATGATGCCCATCAGTGCCCATCAGTGCCACCTATCTGTGCTCATCAGTGCCACCTATCAATGCCCATCAGTGCCACCTATCAATGCCCATCAGTGCCACCTATCAGTGCCCATCAGCGCTGCATATCAGGGCAGCTTCATTAGTGCCTCCACATCAGTGCCCATCGGTGCAGCCTATCAGTGCCTATCAGTGCCGCCTATCAGTGCCCATCAGTGTCGCCTTCCAGTGCCCATCAGTGCAGCCTGTCAATGCCCATCAGTGCCACCTTTCAGTGCCACCTATAAGTGCCCATCAGTGCAGCCTCATCAATGCCTCCTCATCAGTGCCCATCAGTGCAGCCTAACAGTGCCCATTAGTGCAGCCTCATCAGCGCACATCAGTGAAGGAGAAAAATCACTTATTTACAAAACTTTTTAACAGAAACTAAGAAAAACTCCCCAATGGGACACAGATGGCAAAAAATAAACTAACAGGGGTTAGAACCCTCCCTTATCCTATTCAAAATGAGAAAAGTGTTGCTTATAGTTCTACTTTAAATTGATGGAAGCTGACTCCTTAAAGAAATTAACTTTATAAAACATTTTTACAGCCCTGTAAGCCCCAATACACACACACACAAACTTTTTTTGTTTTGGATAGAATGGAGAAGGATTAAAAGACCTGTCTGGGTTTATTGATGTCTGTGCTCCTGTTAGGGAGATTCGCCCTCTCCATTTGTCCTGTTTGCCATTATCATTGAAAGTGAAAGTAAAAGAAAATCCCAAATTTTGGGCTGATATCAGAATAGTAATAGAGGGGAAATCTTCCAATGGGGATATGAACCGAGTTGGGTGAAGCCCTATTGCTGACAGCACGCCACTGCCATTGAGGAGCGGCAGCCATCTTGGTACTCACTTTGCTATTATTACTCCATGTGGATATTTTAAATTGTTACTCATGACCATTATAATAAAGTACTACACTATTAAGCACCTTTCTGGCTCCTGTGGCTGAGCTAATTCCTCTCCAGGACCATTTTGGCACCCACCCTGATGAATGGATGGATGGAGCTGGATGACTAACCCATAGCTGCCAGCATACTGCTGCACCCCCAGATGTGTGATGTGCATAACCCATGCACATTAATAATTTTGTTCTGGTGAGTGTACACCCATCCCAAGGGTGGATTACCTTTCACGAGTTCATGCACTACTGTTCGTCACAGATAAACCACACGTGCCATTCATAGGCACTCTCTGAGTTGGTACTCTTACACAAAGGATATTCCATTATTCAGGAATGATTATATGAACTTTTTTTAGCACCATTTACCAGTTTACATCATTATTGCACTTATTTGCACTTTTTTTACTTTACATGCGTTGATGATTGATAACATGCATTTATAGCGCTGCACTATTACTTTAACATATTTCTATTCTGGGACTGTTGCCAATACCCTAAGGGCTAGCTGCTACCTTCATATCTATACCTATATTTATATTTATCTTGTGTAATACCATTTAGTAGTCTATATAATTTTACCAGCGCTCGCTTTATCATTATTTTTAAACATCTCAATCTTTGGGGACACTAGCTCTGCTGACCTTGGTGACACACCGGGATTCCCTCAATTTGGAGGGATTTTCTCTCACTTACTATTTTGGCTATAGGACAGGAAATTAAGGGAGATCTCACCAATGGGACACAGATGGCTAAAAAAACTGACAGCAGTTATAACCCTCCCTTACTCTATCCAAAATGAAAAAAGTTTTGCCTTTAGTGACACTTTAAACTAGGGGTGTCCAACCTTTTGCCTTTTCTGGGCCACAGTGGAAGAAGGGGAATTGTCTTGGGCCACGCATAAAATACACTAAGAATGAGGAAAGTCGATGAGCTCATAACGTTTGGCAGAACACAAGTTAATGATCACCGATATAGATAATGTAATTATCTGAGTAATATAACTTCATTTTTTGTGATATTTGTTATTATAAAAGTAAAAGAGAGCAACATAAAACTAGAATTGTTTTGATAAAATGATGCATCAGTATTTGGTTCAATAGATGTAGTAACAATTCTCAATTAATTCCCAAGGTGCTCATCAGATATTTTGGTTCTAATTTTGTCCTTTGTGTGCTTCATCATTGAAAATATTTGCTCACAAATATAGGTGCTGCCAAAAACTGATGAAATGAATAAGGTGTGATTGTGAAGAGTGGGATAAGATAAAACTTATAAAAGTGCAGTGAAGAGACAATGTCACATTTTTCTTCGGCAGCATGTGTTTGCTAAACACATTTTTTACAAAAAAATTCCCCAAAAATCAACATTTTAAAGTAAATTCATAATTTTGTTTCGGGTTGCATTCATAGGTGTCTTGGGCTGCAGGTTGGACACCCCTGCTTTAAGCATTATTTTAATTAGTACAAATTGTTGTGCTGCAGTCAGATTTTATTGTAAAATAACCAGCGATGCTAAGCTTTGACAGATTTCAAAGCAAAACAGTAAACAGCAATATTAGACTTTGCATGGACTCTCAGAACCAGTGTACTATATGACCTTGTTTTCTTGTATGGTACTGTAAAATGAATAACGGAATCTGCAAAGGCTGTAAATTGGCCAGTAGAAGTAAGTAACAGAGAAAAGATGAGCTAAAAAAAGTTCAGTCGCATGTGTTGTTCAGTAAACACCTCTCTGTACTTACGGAAATGATGTGCCCTTTCAACCCATGGGCAGAGTCAGCACATTCAATCACAGCACTCAACTGAGGGTAACCAACACCTGTTTTAATCCTGGTTGTACAAACAGATCCTGTATAAGAAGGTACATAAAAGAGAGAATTAGTTCTATGTTCTTCATAACATGCAAAGATTGCCCTGCTCCTCTCTTTCCATGTCTGGCAATACCTATGCTAATTAGACGCACCAGACTTTCTCAGTTGATGACTATGTGCTTCATTAAAATATAGCTGGAAGCAGGTAACTACACTGGGCAAAAGTAAACAAGTAATGCCCTTTTTTGCTTATCTCCCATTCATCTTTTTTCTCTCTCTTTCCATGTTTTTATATATATATATATATATATATATATATATATATATATATATATATATATATCTCAAAAAAATTAAAGGAACACTTTTTAATTAGAGTATAGCATCAAGTCAATTAAACTCATGGGATATTGATCTGGTCAGTTAAGTAGCAAAAGGGGGTTGTTAATCAGTTTCAGCTGCTTTGGTGGTAATGAAATTAACAACAGGTGCACTAGATGGGTAACAATGAGATGACCCCAAAACAGAAGTGGTTTTACAGGTGGAGGCTACTGCTATTTTTTCCCTACTCACCTTTTCTGACTGTTTTTCACTGGTTTTGCATTTGGCCAGGGTCAGTGTCACTACTGGTAGCATGAGGCGATATCTGGACCCTACAGAGGTTGCACAGGCAGTCCAAATCCAGGATGGCACATCAATACGTGCCATTGCCACAAGGTTTTCTGTGTCTCCCAGCACAGTCCCAAGAGGCAGTTACTCTAGGAGAGCTGGACAGGGCTGTAGAAGGTCCTTAACCCATCAGCAGGATCGGTATCTGCTTCTTTGTGCAAGGAGGAATAGGATGAGCACTGCAAGAGCCCTACAAAATGACCTCCATCAGGCCACCAGTGTGAATGTCTGACCAAACAATCAGAAACAGACTTCATGAGGATGGCCTGAGGGTCTGATGCCCTCTAGTGGGCCCTATGCTCACTGCCCGGCACCATAGAGTTTGACTGGCATTTGCCATTGAACACCAGAATTGGCAGGTCTGTCACTGGCACCCTGTGCTATTCACAGATGAGAGTAGGTTCACCCTGACAGATGTGAAAGGGTCTGGAGAAGCTGTGGAGAACTTTTATGCTGCCTGTAACATCATTCAGCATGACTGTTTTGGTGGTAGGTCAGTGATGGTCTGGGGAGGCATATCCATGAAAGAACGCACAGACCTCTACAAGCTAGATGATGGTATCCTGCCTGCCATTAGGTATCGGGATGAAATCCTTGGACCCATTGTTAGACCTGGTGCAGTGGGTCCTGGGTTCCTCCTGGTGCACAACAATGCCCAGCCTCATATGGTGAGAGTATGTAGGCAGTTCCTGGAGGATGAAGGAATTGATACCATTGAATGGCCCCCATGCTCTCCTGCCCTAAATCCAATAGAACACCTCTGGGATATCATGCTTTGGTGCATCCGACACTGCCAGGTTGCGCCTCGGACTGTCCAGGAGCTCAGTGGTGCCCTGGTCCAGATCTGGGAGGAAATACCACAGGACACCATTCGTCATCTCATTAGGAGCATGCCCCGAAATTGTCAGGCATACATACAAGCACGTGGGGGCCATACAAACTACTGTGTACCATGTTGAGTTGCTGCAATGAAATTTCAGCAAAATGGACTAACCTGCTGCATAATTTTTTCACTTTTATTTTCGGGCTGTCTTTGAATGCAGTCCTCTGTAGATTGATAATTTTCATCTCCATCAAACAATGGGGCATCCTTACGTTTCTAACACATTACCCAGTCTATCAGTATAGAAAACGAGCGTGATATTTTCCCCCATTGAGATCTGATGTGTTTTCAAAGTGTTCCTTTAATATACCTTATATATTTACATACATACAAACTGTGAGGCAATGTCCCCCCAAAATTATATCTGCACGTGATGGGGGCTCCAGGGTTTGTTTGAACTTAAGGAGGATGTTGGTAATCCTAGGTCAGAAGTACCATACAACTTCCCATTAGTGACCGTAGATTGGAAATGGCCTCAGTCACAGACTTAATGGATATACCTGTGTGGTGGACCACCTGGCATCCCCACTGGGCACCTCATCAAACAGTGCATCCTGCCCTCCAAACCCTTCCAGCAGACCGATTGATAATACCAGCCTGTTACCCCAAGCATCATACACAGACAAGATTTTGAGGTAAAACCAAAGGAATAAACGGTTTATTAAAACCCAAACATATACTTTATTCCCCTAGGAAAACCTTCCCCACTTGGGTATATTAGAATAGATAAGAAAAGACATATGACCAGTAAAAACTTGATAATGCAACCTTTAAACATTCATCTCATTAACAGTTAGGCACCTAGACAAGTCTTATCAGTATGGCTATCCGTAACAGGAATGCCCCACCCTGCCTCCTTTGTCTATGTGCTGGAAGACAAGTCCACAATAAGTTGATTAGCCAGGGCATGCCCACAAGGATGCCCAGAAACAGTTTCACAGCCCTGGGTACATAAAATACATTACACCGCTCATATCTAAATGTCGCACCCCAGAATCAGCTCGGCTCCAGGTTACCAAGTGGCACCTCTTTGGCAGAAATAATATAAAAATATGAATTTAAAGTTGGAAGTAGCCTGGGCAAAAGGGCAAATGCTGCATTATGCAGCTCTTGAGGACCAGCCAGGGCAAGATAAGAAATATGCCCAAAAAGATTTCCAGCAGGTGAAGTAGATCTGCACAATCAGTCTGACACAATGCTCCCGCAGATGCACCACTGTTCTGGGGATTTGATGGTTGCATAGTCATGGTAGATACCCTTGGCCAGTCAAAGGGTTTCAGAACCTGGCTTTCCTCCATGCTGTGACTGAGAGAAGCAGACAAAATCCCATGTCTCCTCCATGGACCATGATCAGTGGGTAGAAGACTAGCCCATAGTCCCCTTCAAAAGCCCCTGTCCTGGTTGGGTCTGTCACTACCTGTGGTATGATGAAAGATTTTGTGACTGCACAATTGTTGGTTATCAATTTGGCAAAAGCATGGAAAGATGTAGGTTTTACATAGGGCACCTCAAAAATTTTTAGCCTTGTATAGCCCTATTTTGTATTATATTATGACTTACTTTATCAGCAATGGAAAAACAGGAGCAAGTTGTGGATCATCTATTTGTTCCCTTGTTTAATACAAGGATTTCGTTGGAATGTCATTTCTAGCTTGGTATTTACAAAGCCATTGAGGAGTAGTGGAAATTTTGCCCTGAGTATCACACCTACACACCTCAATATGCCTGCCCTAAAATTAAGGACTGGTAGAATGGTTCAATAGTACCTTAAAAGGTATATTAAAAATGTGGTTGATAAGGATGGAAATACTATGACTTCCTGTTACCATACTTACGGAGCTGATCTGACCACCCCAAAGCAAAAATGCTGTTTAATTAATTTTTAATATTCAAAGCAAACTCCCCTATCCATCCATGTCTCCATGCTTTATTGTGCTAAGAAATCACATTGAAAAACACCCCCTAGCATTTTTGGTTGAGGCCATCTTGAGTATGAGCAGATGATTCATGCACCATTGACTGCCTGGAATCCATCTGCCCCATAGCTCAGGGATAGAAACAGGAGGGTGTGCTTAGCTGTGAAAAACCCTCCTCCCCTCCAGCAGACTCTTGGGATGTATGACATACTTTTCCTAGGCAAAAAATCAGGAAGTAACTGAAGAAATTATAAAAACAATGCTTAAAACAAGTAACTATGACATATGTTCCTATCTATTTGCTAATGTTTAATGTTTTCAATCAGGAAAGTTCTGTAGTACTCTACAGAGTTTCTCCCACCTAAACCTTTTGTACATGAGACATCCCCAGGGACTCATAGATATAGCCAGGGAAACACTGAAGTCAGAGGAAAAATCTCACAAAAGTGTGTTCAAACACATTTCTTAAATGCAGTCTAGGATAGCAACAGTCATACCAATAGTGGGTGAATAGCATATCTAGATGATGTTATTTTTAATCTTGACTAGAATTGCCACCTACAAAAAGTCTAAGCAGTTATAGATTCCATCTGTAACACAAGGTTAACAGCTGATCCCAAAAATTGTGTAATAGACCTGGAAGAAGTCTGGTATTTGGGCTGGAGCACCGGGCATATGTCATAAAGCCTCCTATGAATTGACTGAATAAATGTTAAAGTTGGTCCCAACCAGAAATAAAAAAAAAAACAGGTTAGAGCCTTCCTAAGGATTACAGGATACTACTGGAGGTAGATGCATCTCCACTTACTGATATCACCAAGGGGAGCAGGTATACCATGCTGAAATAGAATGAGGAAGCAGAGAAAGCTTTCCAAGTTTTCCAAGAGCTAGAGGAATTATTGTTTGAGGCAGGGGTCTCCAAACTTTCTAAACAAAGGACCAGTTTATTGTCCTTCAGGCTTTAGGTGGGACAGACTGTGACCAGCAGGGGAGAAAGTTGCCTGGCATCACTGAGAGTAAACATTGCCACATTTGGTATTAGGGGGAGGATTAGTGCCCTATTGTTGGGATCATTGGGGGGACTAGTTCCCCATTGTTGGTGTCTGTGGGAGCAATGGTGCCCCACTGTTGATGTCAATAGGCAGAACAGTGTTTCTAATCAGTGGGAGGTGTTGGCCTGAGAGCAGTCTTGTAAATTATTAGAACATTCAGTGGAATATCTCAGCTTGAAACTAACTCTTGCAGAGAGAAACTATTCAATAGTGGAGAGGGATATTTGGCCATAAAGTGGGTACTAGAGTCATTGCCCTTTTGTGCAGACAGTTATGACTGAATACAGACCATTCTCCACTACAGAGAATGGTTCAAAACAAAGGGAACAATGCAAGAGTCACAAGGTGGATTCTGGCTCTGCAAGACTTTACATTTTATGTGCAAAGGACCCAACAAAGATATGCTGATGGATTTCACACATCTACTGTATGATGGCAAAATGTACTCCTTTCCACAGGTCTGAGAAGAAAGGGAGGGTGTGATAGGCACTGCCTGGCAAGATTGTAGACATTTGTAG